GATATGGGTGGGAGTATTTGGCCTCTATGTTCACATTGCTGAACAGCCCTCTTCTACTTGACCCCAATCACACTTTTTTCGGATGTTCATATCCTCTATTAAGCTTTGCTCAGGTTGACGTTGAAGTCTTTTTGTCCCTTTAGAGGGACTTACATGATTCAGTATATAGCATTCAGTGACACAGTTGAAATTAGGGCCTTGCTGTCTTCGTGTTCCTGTGAAGGAAAAAGCTCATCCATGTTGCCCACATCTATAATCTGTCTGTGCCATGAAGTTCACAGCCATGGGTCTTGAGTCACCCTGTGTACACTGAGAAAATGCAACTCAAGGCACAAGCCTCAGTGTATTAAATTCTATAGAAAAGCAGAGATATTTGGTGTAATGTTCAGGATTAGCTTAGTGCTCTCTGCTCTTTCCTGCCAACCAGGTAGGTTCATGTTGGACTGATGGTGCAGCATCTGATCAGTCCCGGGCATGAGATTTTCACCTCACATAGTAGCTAACTGGAGCCAACTTTGCATATAAAAAGTGGGGAGCCCAGGCTGGGTAGCTCAGTTGCTTGGGCCATTGTTCCTGAATACCAAAAGTTTGCAGGTTTGAGTCCAATACCAGTTCAGGGCACATTTGGGAGGAAAGAGGTGGATGTTTCTCTCACATCATTGTCTCTCTCTCTTTCTCGCTCTCTAAAATCAATAAACATACCTTCAGGTGAGGATTAAAAAAGTGGGGAACCCCTACTCACAGTCTAAGAATATGTCTGTAAATAACCACCTGCATGTGTGTGTAAATGGATATTTTCTATGTAAAGAAAATATTACATTACTGGTGGTCTCTGAAATATGAGTAAAGTTGGTTGTGGTTTAACTGCCCTTTTTTTTATCTTATAACAGCCAAACCACTGCTTGCACAGGCCTATCTAGTAGGCGCTGGTTTGACTTTGAGCATTTTCCACGAATCAACCACATTTGCCAGAGCACATCAACAAAAGAACTTGAGAAACTAAAGCACCATCAGCCACAGCAGCGCCCTCCCACCGGCCACTCTTGTCACCTCTACCACCTTTGCTCTCCCTCCCTTACTGTCTATTTCAGGGCAGCCCAGGTTGAACTGAGGAAGGAAGTTGCTAAGAAGTTTGGTGGGACAGAAAATGCTGCCTCATAGTGCTCAACTGTGAAATTGGCCGCACAAAGTGTTCAATGATTTTCAAGTGTCCTCTATGCTCTTACCTTTCCTAATGCAGAAATAGCTTCCACTAAGTCAGAAGTTTTCAACCTTTTTCATCTCATGGAACACATAAACTATTAAAGTTAAGTGGGACCCCCCAAATATTATTTTACTGATATGATAAAAATAGGTATAATTTTGATTGATTTATAAAAATAATAATAGTAATTTCCTACTCTTTTTGCTCAAAGTGATTTTTTAAATTTATTTATCTTTAGAGGGGAAGGGAAGGAGAGAGGGAAGGAAACATCAATGTATGGTTGCCTTCCATGCATCCCCTGCTGGGAACTGGCCTGCAGGGAACCGGCCTGCAACCCCGGTATGTGCCCTGACTGGGAATTGAACTGCTATTGTCTGGTTCGCAGGCCCGCACTCAATCCACTGAGCTACACCAGCCAGGGCTTCAAAGTAATTTTTTTAAAAATTAGAGGCCTATACTTATAAGATGGGGATTTCTGGCACCACAACTTAACTAATCAGATGCAACATTATTATGCGATATGACCAGTAAGTTGCAAGTCTACTATCTGAGCTATGTATTTATGGTCCAAGACAGGGCATTCACACCAGAGTGCTGTTTTTCTATTGGCAGTTTATTTTTTTATTGACAATCTAATGCTAAAGAGTTCAGCGCCCCTGACTAAATAGTTAGGTGTTGCATGTTTTATAAATTCTTATGGCACACCACTTGAAATTGTTGCTTTACAAAGAAGGCCAAGTAATTGGCCTTAATGGGTCTGACCAAATTAATGAGAACCAAGTAATAGATCGAAGTAAATTTAGTCTTTCTTGTGTCTGTTTTGTTTTTTAATGAGAACCTCTATTTCATTTCCAAAAGAACCTGACTCACAGAACCTGAAGCCAATTGCAAACAAATAAAATCTTCCAATCTTTAAATGAGACCTTGTTTTAACTCAAGTATATCAAAGTTTTTACTTTCAAAAGGTTCATTAGAGAAAATAGAAAAATATACAATTACTTATTTTTTCACAGTTACCATACATTGAACATTTCTTTTCGAGCCTTTGTTTGTGCCTATGGTTTAATAAGGTATTCTCATTCACCAGATAACTATGCAGCTAAATTTTCATATACACTGACATAAGAGCTCTAGTATGTGTAAGTAAAAGGAGTAGTGTAGAATAATGTATATTTTTTACTACTGTAGAATAATGTAGAATAACGTATAGTCTATAATAATGTACTAAGGGGAGAAATTAGAATATGGAGACACATGCACACGTATTTATATATGTACATTCATAGATGCATAATAAAATCTAGAAGGATGCCAGAGAAACAGAAACAAAAGTGTGACCTTTAAGAGGTTGGGGAGTTAGCAGCAGAGGCTGGAGCAGAATTTCTTAATGCATTTTTAGAGTGTTTTAGTTTTGGAGGCATGTAAAAGTATTATCAAACAATTTTAGTAGGGTTCTTCTATGCACATTAATTTTCAACAACACTTCCTGATTGATATTTCATTTATTTAAGCAATCTACATGTTTTGAAGATGCATAGTAATTTGTCATATGACATTCTTTTGTTTATTCTTTTAGTTTCTTATTGGGCCGTTGGGTTAACTTGGGGCTGCTGTAAGTAGTGTAACAGTAAATGAACATCCTCACATGTAAGTCAGTCCATGCCGTCCGTTTCTTTGGAAATTCATGGGCCGATGGTTAGAACACTTTCCAGGTTGCAGCACCTTCCCCTGTGGGATGGGCCCTGTGATGCCTCCTGGTTGCCTGAGAGTGGAGACAGTGACACCAGAGCTCAGGAGCTTTCAGTCATTTAATGGCCTCAAGCCCCACTACACATTAGAATTACTGAAGGAGGCTGTTTAAAGTCTGATGCCTGGCCTGTGAGAAAGTCTGCACCTGAATGATTTTTAAAGGCTCCAAGAAGAGAGCCATTGGTACAATAGGTAAAATAGCAGAATTAAATCAGATGGCCCTGGAATCGTTTGGACCTCAGCACTATCCTGTGATTGGCCTTGGGCATATTTCTTAGCCTCTCCTGTCTTCCCATCAGTGAAAGGAGTGTGATACCTGCACTGTGGTACAGTGAGAGCATTCGACACAGAGCATGCACACTGCCTGGCAGAATTCTTGGTGTTCACTATGTTTCAGGTACTGGCTGTTATTCAAACAAAACAAAAAAGAGCAAACAAAAACAGCCTGAGAGAGCCTGGCAGACACCATGCATTTACCCAAGTGAGTAAATGAAAGTGTTGGGTTTTAAGGTATTTGGCTGAATTGTATCATGTTGATATAGTATTTCTGGCTATTTTATATTACTCAGAATTTCTAATTAGCAATTATATAGGACTTAATTAAAGGGAAAATAAAATATTACATAATTGTAGCCTGCTTAATTGAGAGAAAGCCATCAAAAAATCTGAGTTTATGAAGAAAGGAATCCTAAAACATCGGGGAGAATCCATAATTGGAAAAAAGACTGAGAATTGTTACCATAAAGTTTATTTTTTCTATGTTTGAGAAATGTGTGGAGTATACTAGCTCTATAAAGATTAGAGACATAAGTGCTTTAATTTGGTATTGTACAATTTTTGCCCAATTTTTCCATCACATACTTGTAGATGCAGCCAGTTGTTCTGATAGTTCTTTTATCCACCCAAGTGGATTGGACTTTAATGATAGATGTGTGATTGGTGGGTGGGAGGCCAGCATTTAAAAATCTTCCCAAGATGAAAAAATTGTGTGGCAGGTTGGTCTAGAACCCTCTAATTCTTTGAACAGGATAAGAGTAAGGAGAGAAAGTGTATACAGGTGAAGGGGAAGTTCTCTTCATTAGCTTTTAGCCAAATAAGGAAGGAAATTTTCAGATCTAAAATGCCTAAAAGAACCTGCTTCTACTCCAGTAGCAAGTAATGTAGAAGTTAAGAGTGGCAGTCCTATAACCAGATTGTTTGGTTTCAAATACCAGGTCTACTTGTTATTAGCTGTCTTAACTATGGGGATATTCTTTATGCTTCCTTTGCCTCAGTTTCCCCATCTGTGGAACAGACATAATTGTACTTGTTTCATGAGGTTCTTGTGAGAAACAGGTAAGCACGTGCTTAGAGCAGTACCGGTAAGCGCTATACAAGTGTTTCCTATTATTACTTCATTAGGATGTTAAGCATTTTATTTCTAAAATAGAGCAATTAACAGCAGCTGTTGATGACTTGCATGTACCAAACATTATTAACTACTTCACACAATTCCAGAACAGCAGACACTGTGACTTCATTTTCCACATGAGAAAATTATGGCCCATAGAGTTCAGATAGTTTTCCTGAGGTTACATGGATACCAATACTAGACCCAGGATTCAAATCCAGGCACTTAGGGTTTGGAGGGGAGGGGCCAACCCTCCACCGCACTGCCTCTCCAGTGTCAGAGCAGTTCTCCTGGGTCATTGTGAGGCTCAGGAAACCTGAAGCTTGTGAAACGCTGCTATAGATCTGAACACAGAGTGCCAGTCATGGTAGATGTTACACTGTCACCACTGGAATTTCCCAAACCAGTGAGTATGAGTATGAATATGGTGACCTTTGACAGAGAAGTAACCTGGCCACCTTCCTTTGGCTCTGGCCCCCCTTTGGACCCATGCCCCATAGAAAGGATTATAACTATAGTCCCAGGGAAGGAAACACAAGGGTAGTATTGACCATGATGACATTGCTGAATCTGATAGCTCATTTGCCATGTTCTCTTTTATCTTGGACTTTCAATTTGATGTGTCTAATTAAAGTAAAGGAACAAAATGACTTTTGATTTTTAAAAAAATTTATTGTGACTATTATAAAAAACAAAATGCAGAATACAAGTAACCGAGATATCAGTTTCAGGGTATGTGAAATGAAAAGTTTTGAGGCAGTTCTCTAAATAAAGAGCACTAAGGAATGGGACTAGGAGCTGCATGCTGTCTATATTTCGAAGGTATGATTATGTGGGTTTGCTAGAGGAGCAAAGATTGATTAAGATAATGGGAAGAGTGGTGTTAAAGGGCACCCTTGGGCCCTATACCTGAGATATGGCCAAATTGGCTATTGTTACAGAGAGAAATTGTCTTTGCCCAGTGGTTTGAAAACCACTATGTAATAATGACATGATAGAAAAATGCATGTGAATTTAAATAATGCAAACCCAAAAAGGAAGTTTAGCTAGATCATCAGTGGACACATGCACGGAAGAAATGCAGAAAAATTGATCCTTTTGTGCCATCATGTGTTATGCACTCTTTCCACGGCCACAGACTGCTGTTCTCCTAAATAGACAGAAGGAAATGATGGCAAAGTAGACCAGGCTCTTGAGGAGGAGGAGGAGATAGGTGTAGTAGGCGGAGGTATTGGTGAGCTGCAACTGCAGTAAATCTAGGAGAAATAATTTAATTAGTTTCATCTGTTCTTTTGAAAGGATAGGAGACATTAATGGGAGGGGCTGTAATCATTTAGTTTATGATCTACATTGAGGTGACACCTCCACACCACCAAACCCCAGAATAAACAAACATCCACCACCACCACCAACAAGACAACCTAGAATGGAACTTGCAGGTCAGATCACTAGGAACACTCCAAATACTAAAAACTAAGATCGTGTTTTTAATGAAACAGTACACAGAGGAGAAAGTATTTGTAGTAAATAACTTTTACCATTTCTTTACCCCTACAGTGCCCCCTATAATTAAAGTTAATGTTCTTCATTAACCACTAACCAATTCCAAACATTCTGAGAGCTTTATGAAACTTTAATTTTACATAATTTTTCTAGTAACCTATGAAATTATCATTTAGTTCCCATTTTACAAATAAAATGAGGGTGGGAGAGAACAAATTTGCATTTAGTAAGTACCAGAATCCAAATTTCAATCTCAGCAACATGACTTCACAGAACACATTTTTAGTCCCTCTGTAATTGTGTATCTCCAAGTGCAATGAATAAAACACTGACATCAAAGGGATAAGGGTTAATATAAAATTGGGTTGCTGATTTAGAAGCATCTGAGTCATTGCATGTGCAGGCAATATGATTCCTACTAAGGGTACACATGAACACATGGTGGTGGTCACAGCAGGTGGCTGCAGGTTTTAGCAGAGGACATTATGTTAACAGGAAGAAAGTGGTTCATCCAAATGCTCTGAAGTTTCTCTCACCTGTCTTTCCTCAATGTCCTTCATTATAGCTATAATACTATAAGCTAATTGCACTTAATATCTTTTAAGTTTTGCAAGAAATATGTGATGTCAAGAAATAACTGACAATGGTGTGCTGGGCCCAAATGCTACTCAATAAACCACAAGGCCAAGTCTTTTATGTGAAAATTTTCTTATAACAAACTTTATCTCCATAGTGTTGACACTCCAGAATCATTAGTACTTGGTGTGGAAAGGGACCTCAAGAAGTCACGTGCTCATAACCCCTTTGTGTTGGTCAGGTAAGGTGTTAGCTGAGGTCCACAGCCCCCTTTATATTTGAAATGAAGGAGAGCTCTGCAGAGCTAGTATCAATGCTTCTAGGGGCTTTCTTTGTACACATGCAGGAAGAAAAGATCAGAAATTTGTACATATTCTATGCCAGCTAAATGAGATAGCCTATGCTGGACATTCCACATATGTAACCTTATCTCCACAATAACTGGGTTTGGTCTAATCATTCCTGGTTGGCAGGTGAGGAAAGTATTTCAGAAAATGTAAATACCTATATTGATACCACTTGTAATGGAAACAACTGAGGTTAAATCCTAGTCTGTAGTACTAGGAAGACAGACACTACCCTTACCCCTCATCCCTGCCATGTATCCATTGTGTCTCGGGGTCTTGGCTTCAGGCTTTCTTGCTCTATGACTTGACTCTCAGAGGAACAATAGAGAACTAAGTGTATATTCTTGATTTCAATGGCCTGGGTTAAAACCCAAGATCTAGCTGCTTGGTTTGGTGTAAGGGACATCATTTGATCTTATTGCTCTGTGTGAAAAGGAAGAAATAGATTGTGCACTTCACAGGAGTATTATAAGAATTCAAGATGTTAGTTCAGGTTATTAACTACAACAATGGACAAAAGACAAAAAAAATGAAGAAGCAAGTTGATATCACATGTTCCCCAGTCATTAGAAACAAAAGTCATACAAATGAATAAAGTCAGTGTTGAAATAATCCTGAGCATATAATAGCACCCTCTAATTCACTGTCATCTCATGCCAAAAGCCAGCATTTGCTGTGTTAAGATGACTACTAGGAAAGGATGGATTGGATTAAAATAGCACTCAGTGTATCCTGCAAAATCTAAAATCTATTCTGATTTTTCTTTTTCTTTTTTAAAAATTATTTTATTGCTGTTCAATTAAAGTTCTTTGCATTTTTCCCTTACCACTCCCCATCCACCCCAGGCAAACTCTGCAAGAGAAGTTCAAAACTTACATTGATCAGGAGGGAAAAATGTGATAGCATTACATAAAGGCAAATATATGCAGGAAACTTACCACTTTTATCTTTCAGACAATCACCTGTTGTAGAATTAATGCTGGCAACCTCTATAAGAAATGAGAGCAACTATTAATGAATCATTTATAATTGTTTCTTGACAACATGTGTCTGTGTGTAGATAGACAGACACATGATAGATGATAGATAGATGATAGATAGATAGATAGATAGATGATAGATAGATAGATAGATGATAGATAGATAGATAAAATATGCTCACAGGGAAGAGAGAACCATTAAAAATATGCCCCCACAATTCCAGGAATAGATGCCCAGACTCCATACAATTCAGTAAATTGAATTCATATATTGTGTTTCTGTACATGATGATGCTGCTCATGAAGGACACATCTTTTCTGTTTAACCAAAACTGGAGCATATTATACAAGACTATACTATACAAGACTACTGTCTTCCCTGCATTCATTGCTCCTAGCACAGTGCCCACTGCAAAGTAGCTGTTCAATGCATATAACACTTATTAAATGGAAAAAATAAACAGAAAAAGGAGCTGCTCTATGGTTTTCAGTGAACACTGCTGACATGAGCAGTTGCTACAAAGACAAATTCCTTTAACTGTAGAATCCACAACAGAATCTTATAGGTTTGAACGAGTCTGTTGTAGACAAATTTCCCATCTAAGCCATGACTTTTCCATTCACTCATAAGCCCTATGGCTCCAGCTCTTGCACATAATTTTCTGGAGTTGTGGTTTTAGCAGCTGTGACAATACTATTAAAGAAGCTAACATCTATTGAGTGATTATTATTTTGTGGCATAGTGTACATTAAATGCTTCAGATGTCTTATCTTACTGAATCTCCCAGTAACACTGAAGTGAGTTGTATTTTGGAGGATCCATGCAACAGATGAGAAAATGAGGTGCAGAGAGTAGTAGTAACTTGCTGAGAGTCATACCAGTGATGGCGGAGCCAGCATTCAAAGGATTATTGTGGGAGAGTAAATGGAAGAGAACCTGTGGAAACTACTCTGTACAGTAATCCATAGAACAGTATTTTTTTAACATGACATATTTTTTCTGATACATTATACTTCTGGAGGCCAGAAGCCCAAAATCAGTTTCACTGGGCTGGAGGCTCCAGAACAGAATCTTTTTTCTTACCTTTTTCATACTCTAGACTTTTATTTTTTGCCTTCTTTGGCTCATGGTCCTGCATTCTCACAGCTTCTATCACACCTAAAGAGAGACAACATCATTCCACCTTGTCAGGCACTGAAAAAATCGTCTCTTTCCGATTCCTTAATTAGGCTTACCAAATGACCTTTACGTTAGAGGAGCTCAACATTTCACTGCAATTCTTTCCAGAAATATGAAGATAAACCAAGCCACATTTAGTTGTATTTATCTACAATGTTATAAAAAGGCAAATTTACATAAAACAATGAAATTTCTTTAAAAGTCCATTGACCATTGGATGGAGGAAAACAGTGGCAGTGGCTGCGTTGGTTTATCATTTTTCTACGAGATATGTTTCTCACCGTATGAGTACGGTTCTGGTATGTGATTCTATGCACTCAATGGGATCTTTTCTTGGTGTGAACTAAAGTAAAGGTGTAACGTATAGACTTTGGGATAAATCGCAAAATTGAAAATGTAATTATGCTAATATATTAAAATATCCTCAAGAATTCATATTACTATGTTAAAAGTCTGTTTATTTTCTTTATAGTGATTTTATTCAATAAGAGACAAATAAAAATCTCTTATTACCATGTATTGATTGAGGTAAAACTAGTAAAGTAACAACTTTTCATAATACAATCTGCATGTGTTCTAATTCTTTTTCCTAATTTGATTGAAAACTTAGACCACATTAGTTTTATCTCTCTTTGAAACCACACCTTTGATTTGTGCTACCATGTTATATTTTTAGCTTTTATTAAAAACAAATGAAAACAAATAACAAACAAAAGACTTCCAAGAAACAACATTAGAAATTTGCCGTAGAATGACATTAACAAAATGCCCTCATTCACTTTGTTGCTGTGAGAAGCCCACGGGTACATTTGTCACGGAAATTCAGTGCCAAGTAAAACATCTTGTATGAGACCATCTCTCCTATATGCTAGTCACCCCTGATCACTAGAAAAATGAAAACATACTAGGACAGTTAGGCCCTGTGATTATATTAAACTTGTGCTCTGCATATTGCTTTCTCTCTGCTTTTTAACCATAGAAATAGGGATAAATTAGAGCTGTTCAGGCAATCTTTTGTTTTACAAAAATGTAAAAAAATACCGGTATATGAATAAATACATCCATGTTGTATTTCTAAAAGCAAGCATTTTCACTGACATGATTTCATTTGCTCTTTAGCACAGCCCCAGGAGAAAGCCCAGGCCAGGGTTCAAACCTGATTTCATCACTGGGGAAACTCAGGACTGAGAAGGAAAAGCTTACTTCCGAAATTCTGACTCATACACAGCAAAGATCTTAGCACACCTTGTTATGGGCTTGTTCCCTACTGCTTAAAAGGCCTTGTTAACCACGGGGAACAGCACCAACTGATTCCTTCTTATGGGCACTCTGGGGCCTTTGGTCTGATTTGTTAACACTCAGGACTTTAAGTTCTGAGTCTAGGGAGTTCCCAGACCACTGCTGGGGCTAGAGCACATTCAGCATTCTGCCCACAATGTCTAAATATGTACGGAATCTGAGTCAAAGGCCCTCCTTTGAGACAACATGCCTGAACCTCGAGTGGCCCTGAATGTTTAGGGAAAGAGGATATTCTCTTCACTGTGTGCACCTTCTCGGGGCAGCAGTTCATCCTAGTGTGTTCGTCCACAGGCTTCCTGGCCTGACTCCCGCCACTACTGCATTGCCTGTGTGTTTCCCATGGCAAGATACACGTGCGCATTATGCAGGATGGAAATCTGTTTCTACACGTCAGCATCACCCAATCTTTAATTAGGAAATTTACCTACAGTGGTACATGAAATACAAATCTGAAAAACCTAGGAGCAGAAAAACACTGCAGGGCTAAATCATTCCGTTTTCATTGAATCTTGATCTAGTTCCCTCCGAAGGATACCACCTGTTGCCTAACAATTCATTGATTATCCTTTGAGTATAGCAGCACTAGAGTGATTGTGACTTTGTGGCTTAGGAGAAAATTCCTGAAAGATATGTAATTCTTCTTATTTTCTGGTCAAGTAAGATAATCAAAAGTGGAATCTGCCCTAGCTGGTGTGGCTCAGTGGATTGAGTGCCAGCCTGCAAACTGAAGGGTCACTGGTTCTATTCCCATTCAGGGCACATGCCTGGATTGCGGGCCAAGTCCCCAGCAGGAAGCTTACCAGAGGCAATTATACAGCGATTTTTCTCTTTCTTTCTCCCTTCCTTCCCCTCTCTAAAAATAAATAAATAATTTTTTAAAGTCAAATCTTTTTTTGAGCATTTATTGTGTGATAAATTGCTAGGTACTTTCATGTATGACGCTTCATTTAAACCACACAGCAACCATAAAAATCATCATGTGACTTTAATATTTGGATAATAAATCTGAGGCTGAGAGGAGTAAAATTACTTAATTCCTTACCTTTTAATGTTCCACAGCATATACTATTTTAATTCTGTGGGAAAATAGCAGGATATTTTGCTACTATTAATTGTAGCAACATTTAAGAAAGATTTATATATCCTTCTTTTATTAATACCTGACAGACACTTGGGGCAGTCACTCTGGGAACAGAAGTGTTCTGGGAGGTGATATGTGTATACACATACCTTTATTTATTGAAGGAAAAAGAATCTCTTGATCAATTCTTCTTTTATTATACTCCTGTTTGATGATGCATTTGTGTTCTTTATCCATTGACTTTGCAGTCACGGTCAGCCAGCTGAATTTCATGTACGTGTCCTTAGTCTTCATGGTATTTCCCTGCTGGGATGCCAGAATTGCATTGCCGTTCTTTTCCTTCCAATATACCTTAATAACATCGGGGAAAAACTTCTCAAGGAGACAAAGATATGTCCCAGCCTTATGAAGGTTTATTTCTTCAATTGAAGGAAGAAAAATTGTGGGCTTAGGAGCAGTATCTGATGAATCAAGGCTTCTCTCTGTAAGGTGAAATGGAACAGTAATTAAGAATTAGAGAAACACAGGATTGTGTGTTGTGAAACAACCTGGTGTATAGTAAAAGGAAGAAAAGCTGCCATTGAATTAGTGCTTATAATGGCTTTTTATCCATGATATATTGTGATGTATTGATTATTGTTCTTATTTTCAGAGGGGAAAAGAAGTTCAAGAGATTATGTAACTCCCCCAAACCCATAGCTATTAAATAGCACAGCCTGAATTACATCTTGAACTTTGTTCTTTTTGTACATGCTAAAATGGGGTATGACTTTTTTTGAAAACATGAAATAGCATGGCATAGTTTATTAAGTTTATAAATATCAGTACCTGTAATAAAATATAAAATACAGATCCTCCCTTTTCAAACATGAAGTCTCAGAATGCTTCCTTCACCCTTTGGTTTCGAATCCACGCAATGCACTCACATTACGCTGTGGATTTAGCACCGAGACAAAACCCTGAACACTTGCTGGGGAAGGGGGAGCGCTGTGGGAATACCAAAGCATTACATTATAGAAAGTAAATGTTGAAGCAAAAATACTTTCTGAATATATACTGTACATCATGTAAACAAACATTCATAATAAGGATCAACACAGGCCAAAATATTGTTTTTTTTTAAGAAATTAGAATCTTATTTCTTTTAAATCCCACACATTGAAGATGCTTCTAGTTAAGAATGGAGCCTTTTCCTATATTTGCTAATGTGCTTAAATACCTTGGAAAAAGTAATTATTACATTCATTTGCTAGTGGTTTGTCCTCTTAGTTGGTTGGCTGTTGCAAACAATGAATACAGAACTTTTCAGCCCCTGTTGTTCATTTAAAACTAGCTAATATATAATTAATTCATCTTTATCAGTCCATATTAGTAATATAACTGCTCCAACATTTGTGATCTTGTTTGTTTTTAATCTCTTTCATCCTATCATAGTTGAAGAATAGATAGCTGGAATAGGGGAAAAGACCAGGAAGTACCTTAGATAATCTCTCTTCAGATGAGAATCTAGTTGCTTCCAAAGCGCAAAACAGAGCAAAGCAAAACATAAAACAGATACGGACAGCAATATGGCAATTGCTACAGAAAAAGAGGGTGGAAGGAAGTAGAAGAGGGAGGATGAATGGTGATGGGAGGAGACTTGAGTTTGGGTGGTGAACACACAATACAATATACAGGTGGTGTGTTATAGAATTGTGCACTTGGGGGGAATAGTAGGGGGAAATGGAGACAACTGTATCTGAACAATAAAAAATGTGGGGAAAATTAAAAAATAAAATTGTACAGTTGAAACCTATATATTTTTATTAACCGATGCCATCTCAATATGTTCAACAAAAACAAAAAGTACTTATCTCTCCCCATAAATTTTGTAACTTAAGTTGTCTTTGGCCACACATTCTCATGTTTTGCAACTCTGTAGAAACTCATTCTCTATTCAACTGATTCCTGAATGTAACAAATTATCTTTTAAAAAATTTTTCTAAACAATGCACAGTCACTTGTTTTGATAGGAATCTACTTCCACTTGTAATGAATTTATCAAGGTATTCTTTTGGCTTTGCATATGGACCCATGCCCAGTTTTGAAGTAATATAGTTCTCCTAGTTGATTTCTAATTTTATATAACATCTTTTTTTAAAGAATGACTTTAAAAAAAGAGTTTATTTATTTATCTTTAGAGGGGAAAGGAAGGAGATAGGAAGAGAAATATCAATGTATGGTTGCCTCTCGTGTGTCCCCTGCTGGGAAATGGCCTGCAACCCAGGCATGTGCCCTGACTGGGAATGGAACCTCAATACTCTGGTTCGCAGGCCTGCGCTCAATGCACTGAGCTACACCAGCCAGGGTAATTTTATATATCTTAATTCACATCTGAACCACTCCATATTTTTAGGGCACCTCCAAATTATTTATGATGCTTTGTATTTAGAAGCAAAAGAGTAACACTTCCAGAACTTCTATTAACATTTTTAAAATATTTTATTTCCTTTTTTGTTACTTTTAGAGAGAGGCAAAGAGAAGGAGAAAGAGATGAAGAGAAACATCAATGTGTGGTTGCCTCTCATATGGCCCCCACTGGGGACCTGGTCCACAACTCAGGCATGTGCCCTGACTGGGAATCGAACCGTGACCCTTTTGTTTCCAGCCCATGCTCAACCCACTGAGCTACACCAGCCAGGGCTTTATTAACATTTTTATTGATTATTTTCAGAAATACATATTAATGTAGCAAGTAAATGCCCTTAAAATGTTTTTATTTCACTTTAGAAAAGGTTCACCTAAAGCCTATTTTATTTTTTTAAGTTTATTTGAAGTTTTAGCATGACTATTATACCATATTTTAAATATACCATATTTTGGCCCTGAATGTCTTCCATAAAATTTCTATGTCCCCTGTAAGGCTACTGAACTATTTTAAAAGTCCATCATCTTCTTTGTTTTCATCTGCTGAATAAAATATATACATAATTGGAGTAATGTTAAAAGCTATATTTCTAAAGATTTTTTGGTAGATCTAATGTCAAAATATGTAACAAAACATGATGTATTTAAAAAGACATCCCACATAAATGCTGAAATGTTAATTGATTATGTATTTATTAAACACCAATGATTGATATTATAAATGTTAAAGCCCTTTCCTATTTGCTTCCTAATGAAACACCGATTTCTTCGTCTATTCTATTTGGGCTAGCTTGGAGTTACTTTAGTAATTCTGTGGGCTATTTTATAAGAAAAATGTTAGATACCCTCATTTGAGAACAAAAGGAAAAAATATTGAGTATTTCTACCTGTGGAAGAGAGCTTCTGATTTTCACACTAAACCAATGAGCAACCATTTTGAGAGGTATTTTTATTTGGGACCTGTTATAAACATAATTGAGCTATATAGGGCTTATTTTAATTGTATACATCTTTCTTTTAGTGCCATAGTATTTTTTCTTATAATAGTAAGGCAATGTATATTTCTCCAACTACATACTTTGTCTTTACTTAAAAAATATGTTATATCAAGTAATATTACACTAATTTTTCAATTGCACATTATATAGACATAATTTTAATCTCTAGTCAATATATTAAATAATGTAAATTTATCTAAAAACCTCTCCATAGCAATATTTCTGATTTACTATACTAAAGTAATCAAAAATCAAATGACAAACTTGAAATTTTTATGTGGTAATATACTATTTTTGTCACATACCCTTTTGTCAACTACCCTTTTCCTTAGCTAGATTTTTCAAGATAAAATGAATCTTGAACTTTCATACCCTTCTCAATGTAAAAGTTAACTGAGTATTAAATAATGTACTTAATTATATATGGTTAGTACCTATATTTTGGGTAATTGCATTATATGTTATTTCTTTTTTTTTTAATTAAATTTATTTATTTTTTTGAATTGATTATGCTGTTACAGTTGTTCTATTCCCCCCTCCATTTCCCTCCACCCTGCCCCCCCAACCCCACCATTACCCCCCTTTAGTTTATGTCCATGTGTCTCAAGTCCTTTAGGTTCTATATTTCCCAAACTATTCTCGCCCCCCCCCATCTATTTTCTATCTACTGTCTATGCTACCTGTTTTCTGTACCTTCTCCCCCCATCTCCTCCTCCCACTCCCCTGTTGCTAACCCTCCTTGAGATCTTCATTTCTATGTTTTCACTCCTGCTCTAGCTGTCCTTTTAGTTTGCTTTCGTTTTAGGTGTGGTTGTTAATAACTGTGGGTTTGTTGTCCTTTCACTGTTCATGTTTCTTTATCTTCTTTTTCTTAGATAAGTCCCTTTAACATTTCATATAATAAGGGCTTGGTGATGATGAACTCCTTGAATTTGGTCTTATCTGAGAAGCACCTTATCTGTCCTTCCGTTCTAAATGAAAGTTTTGCTGGGTAGAGCAATCTTGGTTGTAGGTTTTTAGATTTCATGACTTGGAATATTTCTTTCCAGCCCCTTCTTGCCTGTAAGGTCTCTTTTGAGAAATCTGCTGACATATTGTCAAAGTTTCTTAATGTGAAAATCTTTTTCATGATCCAAAAAATTGAAACCATCTTAAAAAATCAATTAGCTTTACAATGCATTTATATAAAATCTTTAGCATAATCAAATAATCCATCTGTATTAAATGGCCTCAGTTCCTTGTATCTATTCAGATGCATCAATATGAGAAGCATATAATTTTACCAATCTTTATATAAATGTCAACTACATTTTCAATAGAAAGTATAATATTTCAAACCTACATATTGATATCATGTTATCTATTTTTCTTGTCATTTTTCTTTTATTGAATAAGTAGTTATATTTATTTTATTTTTAAAGGTGAACTACAAACTTATGACATCTCTAACTATATTTGTACTTTATGTATGAACCATTTTCTTTCTGAATATAAGTTTTTTTAAAATATGAGAATGAAGTCAAACCTTATTGGTTATGAAATTAAGGGCCAATATATGTTGGTGTTAGAAATAATTTTGATTAAAATGAAGGATTAAGATTTAAAGTACAGATGCCATCAATAAAATCATAAACAAAGACATATTAATTTTATTTTTCTTGCCTGTGAGGGAAAAGTGGCGGTAAAACTAAACCAATACCTCCAGACTCATTTCTTCATGAGTAGTTAGAAGTACAAATGAGTTCTCAAGACTTTCTGCTCTGTAAATATTATTGGCTACAAACAACTCTTCATCTTCATACTGGACACAATTCTTCTTTATATTTGAATTGGGGGAACACCTATTCAGCACCTACTATATGTTAGACTATGTGCAAGTACTTCATTCACGCCATCTCGGTCGATTCTCATACAACCCCTCTGGATGCATATTTATCCTATTTTATGAATTACAAACCTGAGGCAAGAGAATAACCATGCAAGTTCACGTAAGCAGTAAGCGGTGGAGCCAGAGCTCCATATGATCCTGACTCCAAAGCCCAGGCTCTTTCACAACATCATTCCACCATCAGAAATGG